AGTCAAATTCTGGGGTGCAAGCAACAGAAACTAGACTTCATTAGGACAGTATTGGAGCTGACATTATTAATGGGAAAGCCAGAGAAGGCGACTTGAAAAACAGGCAGGAAGCAAGCTGAACCCAGGAAACACAGACAAGCCAAGACCACCGACGGATTAGCACATCAGACTGGGCACCCCAGCCACCAGATCCTGGATGCCCATACCACTGAGGATAATTTAGAATTGTCACTGCATGTTTGCATTTTTCCTTGAAGATTCAAAATGTCTAAGTCTAGATCTTGAGATGCTCACATTCCAGTTGCCTGGAAATGATGGGCTCCTTTAGCTTCTAAGTATGAGGCAAGCTCAAAGTTCCATTCTGATTTTATTGGCCACATCTGTAAGACAGGCTAGTTATATCTCTGAGTTCTAGACTCTAAGAACCAATATATATTAGCCCTAAAGAGCATTGAGAGTGCAGAGTGTACAAAATCTAAATCAGTGACATTAATAACTCACTTTTCAGTTAACCAATTATATGTTCGTTAAACCTCAGACATACATACACGTACACACACACACCCCAAAGTCCAGAAGCTAGTCCTTGAAGAATTCCTACCAAAAGATACTGAGACATAGGATTCATTTAATATAGATACAACATCATCATCAACAACATCAACTATAACGAACAATAGCTAACATTAAGTGCTTATATATGCCAGGTATAGTTCTAAGTATTTACATGAATTAACACATGTAATCCTTAAAAACCCTGTAAAGTTCTGGCATTTAAGCCTTAATACTTGCGAATGTTATCTTATTCACAAAACTCACCCTCCAGGCCTCCAAAGCAAGTTGGGTACTCATATCTAATGAGAAGAAACACTAATTTATGCCTATAATGGGAAGCTTCCCTGAGCAATAGGAAAATGCAACTGAAATTAATAAAATTATTTAGGAGCACTTTCTAGGACACAGATTTTAAAATAGACACACATAGGTCTACCACACTATACTTGAGGGTAAAGATTGTTTCTTTTTTTAAAAATTACTTCTATATTTCCAGTATTTCACATAGTTTCTGGCTTAGTACATGATTCATAAATGTCTGTTGAATGAATGAATGACATCCATATAATATTTGAGGAAAATATTATCCTACAAAATTCATCCTGATAAAGAAGACTAATTGAAAAATAAGATGAATGAGTCAAAAGTGGGGGGAAAAAAGGTACTTCTTCATTTGTAGAAGAATCCTGTCTATTGATGAACCACATAAATGCTAACATCACAAATTTAGACTATTTAGGAATTTGTACATGTAGAAATTGAGAGCCTGATCCTCTTTCATCCTCTGAAAGAAGTAGTACTGATATAGGAAGGAATTTTTGTTCAAACCTTCCTGTACTGAATGACCTTGATCACACAACTCCCAACATCGGCACCATGAAGGACTGGACGTAGATCAGTGTTTTCAAAACTCTGCTTCCTAGGCTTCCTCAGAGGGGCCTCAGAGGAAGGAGGGGGATGCTGACCAGACAGATCTCTGAACCACCAAACTCTGTTTAGCCACAACAGCACCTTTATCTGTTTTACATATTTGGGATTCTGATAAATATCTGGGACAAAAAGTTTCTATGGCTAAAGAGAAATTAAACAAACAAACAAGCTACATAAACTGTAAAATCCCTTTAGCTCTACTAGTCAATGATAATTATCACCATCAGACATATAGTGAAAAAGGATGAAAACTTTTCCCTGGGAGATTAAATAAAAAGATAGTAGGGTAAACTGCAGACCCAGGATGGGCAAATATTGTACAGTGCCTTGTGAAATCTAAAAAGAGAACTCAGGAATGACACCGAAGCAGTGTCTAGGGAAACAGGAAAAGACAACACACAAATACACATATAAAATGTATATAAATACTCTCTCTCTTTCTCTGACTATGTATATGTGTGTATGTATATTTATGCAACATATACCAATATACACAAACAATATGGGGAAGGAGGATTTACTAGGGAGGTTACTATAGTGATTGCAGTATGGAACCAGATGGGGAATGAGGAAATGTCTGAAATGATTTTATAAAGAGGTGATATTTCAACAGAATTTTTGGAGGCAGAACATGGTTTGGCAGAATAGAGGAAAAGAAAGTATTTCAGGTGGAAAAAATAGCACCACTTAATGTTAGGAGGTAATAAAAGCTTGTATGTACAGAATGCCTTGAAGGTCTTGTTATTCTATTCTCTAGTCTTCTTGTACTAACATAGGTCTGACCTGTAGACCTTCCACTGGAATCCAGAGAGAATCTCCCTTATTTCCAGTGTGGCTGAAATTTGGCTTAATCAGAACAACCCAGATTTATTGGCTATTCCTGGAATATAATAAAATTATTGGCAACTTAAAATTTATAGTGGCCTGACACTGCAGTGTCTCTGGGTATACATCAATTGAGAAGCCCAGAACCTTGATGTGAAAATGGTTTTCCACCCTATTAAGGGTTCTGTTGAGAGAACAGTCTATGGAAAAGTCTGTGGAAAGTGGAAACAAAAAATATATGGCTAGATCACTGGGATGGAAAATAAATCCTCTCTAGAAATGGTTCCAAGTCGTTCCACATATGTGTGGTGGGTCTCTCAAAGTTCCACCATATCCCACCAAACCAACCAATGTTGAATACTTGCTTCTCTCATCTTCTCTCTCAGCAACCCAAACTACTCAAGCATCTTCTTCACCTCCCACATAATCACCAAAATAAAAAATGTACAACTGAGAAAAGTGACTCATTTTTTTTTCAGCTGAAGTCTGCTTCATCTTGCCTTCCTTATGTTCATCCATTCCTTAAGCAGGCAAATTATATTCTTTTGGTCCTTCCCAATATGATTTTGGAGTGAGCATTACCCCAACCTATAAATGAGAAGTGTTTCCAAAGTTTGTTTTGCAAGTTAGCAGCTTGAAACCTAGAATATCATTTCCTAAAGAAATAAATTTGAAAAAGTGTTTAAGTTTTCCAGACCAAAAATGTATATTTAATCTTGATGTCATTTAGCTTTGGTTTAAAGGGACCCCCCCTTTTAAAGTGACTTTTGGTTTAAAGGACCCCCTTCCCTAGTGACCATGGATCCATGCATGGATCATTCTTCTCCCTTCTTGATTCTCATAAGTATTCTTAAAAAGGAGACAGGCTAAGTTGAAAAATATTTCTCCCTCTCCAGAATTCCAAGGGAGAGCCTGTTTCTTTTCAGCTCCATTCCCCAGAAGGAATCATATTTTTGTGTGTAAGAGACATAACGTAGATGTTGCTAACTCAGTGATTACCTGGCCATTTGTTTCTTCATTCCCCTGTAGGTAAATGGACTAGTATCTTTCCATTTGTTTACCAGTTTGGGGATAAATACAATATCAGACAGATGGATGCTTCCATAGCACATATACAGGGACCAGGAAAAACAATTAAACATGCATATTTTTTCTAACTAGAAATTTAAAAGAGTGAAAGGAGAGGGAGAGTGTGTACATGTACATACAGATATATAGGGCAGATCATTAACATACAGAAGAAGGATATGAAACCTCACCAAGATTCCTGTGGGAGCAGTACTAGAAGACACCAGTTATAGGTATTAGGAAAGGGCTGATCTTTAGCACTAGGCTTAGGAGGCAGATTAATGGGTTAAAATGACTATAGCAATATATTTTAAATGGCTATCTCATCCTTAGCCCAGATCATAAGAAGTTCATAGTGTCAAGTATGGCTATCTTTCTGTCAATGTTGAAGTATCTCTCTACAAAATGGTGCCTGTTATTTGCTGAAGCAACCAGCTGGCACCACTTGGGCGAAATCCAAGTCTGTGTAGTCTTAGCTCTGTGAGATATCTATTAGGTGCCCAATTATAAACTGTGCCAGAGTGAGCAGGTTCCATGATTGATCGGTGGGAACTAGGAGATTTTTGCCTTAGATCTAACCAAATTTTGCCATCACATACTACTTACTAGACACTGATATTTGTCCATTTGTATAGGTTCCATTTACTCAACTTTTATTTAATGGGAGCCTAGTATGTGCAAAGCATTGAACTAGGGCTATACATAGGCAATAAACAAAACATGATTACTACCTTAAAGGAGCTCTGGTATAGTAAAAGAGACAGACATTCATGTTAATGAATATTTATAATTAAGTCTGTTGAAAGTTGTAGCAGAAATATATACTAACACAATAACGGCAGAAAGGAGAGGATCATCATATCTGCCTGGAGGATGAGAGAGTCTCCACAAAGAAGAAACCCACTCCAGCCACATTATGGAAATAAATTAGAAATGCGTTATATAAAAAGAAGAGAAAGGAAGACATTCCAGGAATGGTGTTTAGAAAGAGGGAAAAGATGAAATATGGGTTATTCCATGAAACTATATAATTGCAATGGAGTGTAGGATGTGAAGAGGGGTAGATTTTGATGTTCAAAGAGATAGGCAGGGACCAGAAATTTAACAAGTAAATATTTTTTAAAAAAATCAGATTGAAGGCAAATCCTAAAAGAAAATAAAAGAAGTGGGTTGATGTGTTAGAAAGTGACTTCCTGGATACCACTTAGATGTATTTGTCACAGAAGACCTCTCAAGTAAAGACCAGAGAAAGAGCATTCCTGGTAGAGGGAGTAATACATGCAAAGCCTTGAAAAAAGAATGTTGTGTGATGAGTTTTAAAAACTAAAAGTCCAGTAGACTTGGTGACCAAGAGTATATTTTATAAGCTTTGGTGGTAATGAGTTTGGTTTTGATTCTAAGTGGAATGGGAAGCTATCAAAAGTGGGGTTTTTTTTTTGGAAGGGGTTACAAACTGTGTTCTGTGTAAACGTCTATCGTTGTGTTTGCACTCGTCTGGAAAAGCTATCAAGGGTTGGTGCGCTAGGGAGAACTGCAAGTACCTTAACCCTCCTCCACACTTAAAAACTCAGCTGGAAATTAATGGACGCAACAATCTGATCCAACGAAAGACTGCCACAGCCATGTTCGCCCAGCAAATGCAGTTTATGGTCCAGAATGCTCACATGTCATCGCTTACTTCTTTTCCTATGAATCCGTCACTTGCAGCTAATCCTGCAATGGCTTTCAATCCTTACTTACCTCATCCTGGGATGGGCCTGGTTCCCGCTGAACTTGTACCGAATGCACCTGTTCTGATTTCTGGAAACCCGCCTCTCGTATTGCCAGCAGCTGCTGGTCCCAAACTGATGCGTTCGGATAAACTGGAGGTTTGCCGAGAATTCCAGCGTGGAAATTGTACCCGTGGGGAAAACGATTGTCGCTATGCTCACCCCACGCATGTTTCCATGATTGAGGCAAGTGATAATACCGTGACGATCTGCATGGATTACATCAAGGGGCGATGCACCCGGGAGAAATGCCGGTACTTTCATCCTCCTGCACACTTGCAAGCCAAACTCAGGGCAGCTCATCACCAGATGAACCATTCAGCTTCTGCCGCTATGGCCCTCCAGCCTGGTATGCTTCAGCTGATACCACAGAGATCGGCACTTGAAAAGACCAATGGTGCCACTCCGGTCTTTAACCCCAGCGTTTTCCACTGCCAGCAGGCTCTGGCTAACCTGCAGCTCCCGCAGCCGGCATTTATCCCTGCAGGGCCAATACTGTGCATGGCACCCGCTTCAAGTGTTGTGCCCATGATGCACAGCGCAGCTCCCACCACTGTGTCTGCAGCACCAACACCTGCCACCAGCGTCCCCTTCGCTGCAACAGCTACAGGCAATCAGATACCCCCATTATCAGTAGATGAACTGAATAGCAGCATGTTTGTTTCACAGATGTAGAAGCTACCAGTAGAACATTGAAATTCTGAACAACAGAGTTACAGAGTATCAAGATCTCTCCGTGAGAACCTCCATATGGCCTTTCCATAGATATTCTCATAGGTCCTCTTCTACCAATGCTACAATAAGTGTGATGTGGTCAATATATTCAACCGAACGCATATACCAACCAACAGATTCAAACAAAACCAATAAAGCATTAAACAGTCAGTGGAGATGTTAAAACAAAACACACATAGAAAATGAATAACTAACATTTATCTTATTTGAATTAGTAGGTAGAACACGACCATAAAGTTTTGTAGTTTGTTACATTATTCTTTGTGATTTTCCAATAACCATTATGCTGAGTGAATCTCCACAGTGGACTGTTGGCTTACTGTGCATTCTTGGTGGGTAAATGTTCGTCTGTTTTAAAGTGTTACCTTACTGTTTTGTTTACACAATAGTCTATTGGGTTGGTTTAGAATGTAACAAATGTATCCAGTACCATTTTCCTCACTATTGTATTGTGGTGTGGTGTGTTGTGTTAGATTTTGACATACTATAGTGTTTTCCTCTAAAAAAAAAAAAAAAAAAAAAAGTGGGTTTTTTTTTTTTGGAAAGAGAGAGTGTGATGGGGGTGGGGCAGAGGGAGAGGAAGAGAGAGAACCTTTTTTTTTTTTTTAAAGATTGTATTTATTTATTTGACACAGAGAGAAAGGGAGGGGGAGAGCAAGCACAAGCAGGGGGGGCAGCAGGCAGAGCAGGCTCCCCACTGAGCAAAGAGTCCAATGTGGGGCTCCATCCCAGGACCCTGGGATCAGGACCCAAGCAGAAGGCAGCTGCTTAACAGACTGAGCTACCCAGGTGCCCCGAAAAGAGAGAATCTTAAGCAGGCTCCCCACCCAGCACGGAGCCTGATTCTGGCTTGATCTCAAGACCCTGAGATCATAACCTGAGCAGAAATCAAGAGTCAGACACTAAACCGACTGAGTCACCCAGGCACTCCAAAAGCTATCAAAAGTTTTTAAGTGAGAGAGTCACATGATCTGATAGACACTTTATAAAGGACAACTCTGGCTACTGAGGAGAGAACAGTTGTAAGGGATTGAGGTTAAAAGGAAAGAGATTAGAAGGGAAAGCTATTGCATTTGAGTTTTTTGTTTGTTTGTTTGTTTTAAAGGTTTTATTTATTTATTTTTGCAAGAGAGAGAGAGCGCATGCCCACACCTGCCTGAGTTGGGGGTATGGGAAGAGGGAGAAGCAGACTCCCTGCTGAGCAGGGAGCCAGATGCAGGACTCAATCCTAGGACCCCAGGATCATGGCCCAAGCCGAAGGCAGATGCCCAACCAAGCCACCCAGGAGCCCAAACCTATTGCATTTGTCTCCATGAGAGATGAGGGGGTTAGCAATGATAGAGGAGATGGAGAAAAGTGGACCGAGCCAAGACATATTTTTGAGGTAGAGAGTGAGGGAAGGGAAGAATGAAAGGGGCTTTTTACTTATAGAAACTGGAAAAAAGAGTGGCATCTAATGATCAAATAGAGATGGGAGGAATGAATCAGGATTCCATTTCCATTTAAATGACTGGATGAGAAAGGAGAAGAGATTTGGGGACAAGAAATGATGACTGATCTTTAAGGTATGTTGAGACTGGGGATCCTGTTGGCAGTCAGAAAAAGATTTCCAGGGGACAGTTAGATATAAAGCAAGGTAGGCCCCACAAGGATAGGTTTGACTGGAGAGCCTAGAGAATTTGAGACTTGTCCATGTAGGAGTTGTGGGCATGAATTAGATTACTCATGATGCTTCTATTGAGGAAGAACATTCAAGAAAAAGGTCAAAAGCCTGGGTAACACCAACTTTTCAGTTAGTAGAGAAAGAGGAGCCAAGGGAGGGGGGCAGAAATAAAAAATATGCAACCAAAGATGCAAGAGAGAAAAAGGAGCTAAAATAGGCATTATGGAAGCCAAGAAAGTAAAGATATTCAAGAGAGAAAACATGTTTCATGGTTTCAGATGTCCTAGCGAGATCCCATGCAAGATAGCTCCACTTGTCTTTCCCAGAGTTTACTGAGACTTCTGTTTGTATTGTATACTGCCTTGGAGTCTAATGCAGAGCTACTGAAGAGTAGATATCAAGATATCAATCAATATGTGTTTCTTGAACCAGATACTGAACTTGATAACTTACCTTCAAAGAGTTTGTAACTAGTTGGGAGAAATCAGGTACATATAAATACATACGGCCAATTAAGTAAGGCTCTGTTTAATGTATGCTGAAGAAATGGGACAGGTAGTATATGCTACTGAAGATCTAAGAGGGGAAGAAATCACGGAGAACTGTGGTAGTCAGAAAGGCCTTCAACATGAGATAACTCTTGATTCAGGACTTAGGTTGAGTAAGATTGAAGTAGGCAGAAAGGGGACTTAGCAAGTAGTGGAAATGACAATGAACAAAAGTACATTTAATACTTAAATTCATATTAAGTCTGGCTGGGACAGGATGCCGAAGTGGAGGAGCAGCTTAGCTACAGAACATGTTATTTTGTAAGCTGGAAGGCCTTAGACACAACTTTGTCTAATTTAAAGGAGATGACAACCCAAAGAGATTAAATTTGTTTAAATTCACAAGCCTAGGGGCACCTGGGTGGCTCAGTCGTTAAGTGTCTGCCTTCGGCTCAGGTCATGATCCCAGGGTCCTGGAATCGAGCCCCACATCGGGCTCCCTGCTCAGCGGAGAGCCTGCTTCTCCCTCTCCCACTCCCCCTGCTTGTGTTCCCTCTCTCGCTGTGTCTCTCTCTGTCAAATAAATAAATAAATAAATAAACAAACAAACAAATAAATAAATTCACAAGCCCAGTCAATGACGGAACCAGTAGAAGGCAGGGCAAGATTCTGAGGAGCCCTTAAAAACAATCATAAACAAATAAATTGGAATTAACCCTGTAAACAAAGAAATACCATTGACATTTTGAGAAAAAGTAGAGTGAAATGTAAGATTAACCAAAAGGCAGTGTGCAAAGCCAATGCCAAAAGCAAGGAATTTTGGTGACTATCCAGCCTTTCTCACCTGGAGCTTCTCATCTGAACCACAGAACATAAATAAATGACTTGAGTGATGATCTTCTCCATTCTCACAAGGATGGTGTGTTCCTAGTACCAGTCTAGACACATAGGAAAGAGGTTAATTCATTATGTACATTCATAGGCCTTAAGGCTTGGTTGTCTTTTAGATTGCTGGTTGAAAAAGGCTGGCAGAAGAAGGAAAGGACAGATGTGAAAGATACCACAAGTAGAATTTGCTAACTGATATTATGGCTTTTGTGAGAGAAGGATGAATAATCAGTTATTCCCAGGTTATGAGCTGGGAAATTGGGAATGTGCTGTTATCTCTCAAAGATATTACCAAGAGTAGAGGAGTCAGAGTTCTAACCTAGGGAGAAGATAATTAGTTTAACATGAGACTTTCTGAGGCACCAACAAAGAATAAAAAGAAAAAAATATATATTTCTAGTATCTGAAAATCTTGGATTATGGGAAAATTAAATTTTCTGTTGGTTTTCCTATGGTTCTTATAGTTTGATTCTTTATGGATAGATTTTTACAGTATACCCAAGTTCAAAGTAACAATATTGATAAAATATATTTAATAAAATAAATTTCAGTTTGTTCATGAGCCAATCAGTTCCAACGTCACTAGAACGATAACGTAGAATCGGAGAGGCCTGCAGAAAAACCCGTTAAGTATTGAAAGATACAGTCTTGCGTAAAATAGGGCAATACCTGTGATGACAAAATTGGCATTTCTTTTCTAAGTCAAGAATCAATAGTTTCGGGTGCCTGGATGGCTCAGTTGGTTAAGCGTCTGCCTTAGGTTCAAGTCATGATCCCAGGGTCCTGGGATCGAGCCCCACATCAGGCTCCCTGCTCAGCGGAGAGCCTCCTTCTCTCTCTCCTTCTGCTCCTCCCCCTGCGTATGCTCTGGCTCTCTCTTGTTCTCTTTCTCTTTCTCAAATAAATAAATAAAATGTTAAAAAAAAAAAAGGAAAAGAAAAGAATCAATAGTTTCTTCCCGCTTAAGTGAGGACAAACCTGAATTTGGTCCTGAGTGTGCTTGAATATACATAAGTAAACTAATGCCCAAACTTCTTGGATTCTTTCCTAAATACGCCTGTTCTTAGGCTTATTGTGGGCTTATTGCATCTTCCAGCTGATGTTCAGAAGTGAAGTCGGAGCCATCTGTGGTCATTAAATTTCCCATGACAGTTTTTACTAGAGGGTTATGGCCCAATTCCAAACTGAGTAATTCTGTTTTATAGCTCCTCCTCCCTTTTCAATTATAGTAATCTTCATTTCCTCCTCTATAGTGGTTTCACCCCAGAGATGTAAGGTATGAAGTTCAAGATGGAAGAAAAAATATACAAGAAACAAGGTCTTCATGTTTTCTATACAACTCTCAGTATGGAGCACAAATCTGGCTGAGTTATCAAAAGCTATCACCCCAGTGTCTTTCAATCAAAGGCAATCAAAGCCATGAGGAACATTGAATTTATATTAGCATGAAAGACTTATTCAAATGAATACTAAATACCAACCTGATTTCTCCAGAGTAGCTTTCCCAGGTGATCTGAGTAAACAAGTCCTTGAGATGCAAGGTTAAGGGAAGATTGCAAAAGATACTCTTCAGAACAAAATACATTTGAATAAACCAAACCCCCACGTCAGATCTGAGTAAAGAAAAAGCGAATGTTTTTTTAAATGAGATGATATCATGCTCTCCCTCCTTTTGAAAATCTCAGAAGTTTTTAGAAACATTAATCCAATAAAACTTTGGAAGAAAAATTCTTCAAATGCCTAGGTAAAGATGAAATGGAGTAAGTCGATGATGGGCCACTTACAAAGTCTCACTATTAATTTACATCTCTCAAATAAAATAACACCTTTTTAAAAGTGATTTAAAGAGAAAGGACCTTCCAATGCAATGTCCACCAAATCATACCCAATACCTGTTGCTCTTCCCCCCCCAGAGCCCTATATTTAAGAGTCTGGATAGCCAAATCGAGCTGCCCTCAATAGGACATATACCTAGAAATTTAACTGCAAGTTAAGTATTAGAAATCGAGAATTTTCTTTTTAAAGAATTCTGGTTTAATTGGTGGGGTGGAGAGGTAAATAATGGAGACAATTGCCTCTACTGGAGTTTAGATGGAACTGTGGAAGGCATCTTTGGAATAGCTGTTAAGGATCTAGTTTGGTAATTAGGAGATTTTACTTCTCATCTTATACCCCAAGCAGGTAAGTTGGTTTCTGAACCAAAACAAAGTAAGAGTGGGAAGAGGATTTGCATTCTAACAGCCCCTGGTCTGTGCCAGTTCCTTGGCTAGTTGTGCTAAGGGATTCTGAAGTCATTTAGATTTAGATTCTGAAGCAGCCAATTTTTGCTTAACCTTTGGAGATCATTTAATTAATTTATTTTTTACTCTCCTTATCTAGTTCTTTTATATAGTTGTTAATG